CCCCACCAGACCTTTTGCAAGCACCTATTAAGAAGACGAAGGCCAACAGACCTGTGGAACAAGTGAATTAGTCCGACCCATCTTCCTTTGACCGTATTGCATTATCAAAATTAATGAAATTAGAACTACACGAATTAAATTGACATATGAAGCAAACTATAAGTACTACAAGTGTAATTTCTGTTTGTGTTTTGGTAGATGATAATGTTCTAACATGTAATTTATTTTTAGCTTAGATGTCATGTTAAATTATTAATCATCGACCAATATTAATATTGGTCTGACTCACCTTAATAAACCAATAAAACACATGCACGTATTATATTTTTTTGATAAACGACGAAGTTTGAACATATAATTTACTGTATGTTCTAATATCATATTAAGTTATTGATCATATACCAATTTAGAAGTCAAGGGAAAAAAAGAAAGAAAAAAGAAAAAAAGGGAGGGAGGGGGATCATTTTATTATTATTTAAGCAAAAGTAAAATGCATTAACTTAAAGTAGATAATTACAACATGTTCATTGGAATGCGAAGAAGTTTTATGATAAAAGTTATATCGTAACTAAATTAGCACCGACAATCTTAAGTCTTAAGCAAAAACCGTATCCCTGAAAGAAAAAAAAACACAAAACAAAATAAAAAAGTACTAACAAAGCAAGTGGGTGATTTGGAGAGCCAACCTATACTAGCCACATAATAATAATAATAATAATAACTTTAACTACTAGAAGTGTACTATGATATTATAATTTCGAGTCCTACCAATGTGCTTTTCTTATAGGTTTTATGTAGATTGCCATTAAAAAGTCAGAATTAGTAGGAAAACTATTTGTAAGTCTATGAGTAATGATCCACTTGACAATGGACAAGTATCATCTTGTCTCTTAATACAAAGGCAAAAAATATTCCATACCACTAAATTAGTTAATAAATACAAGGTGGAGACACCTTGATCCAAGAGTACTAATTTTTTTTTTTTAAATCAGTGAGTGATATTTTACGTGAGACACTATAAATTATATGGTGAATATAAAATTTTCAATAACCGTAGGGATACTTAACTTTTTATACAACACTTTACATAATTATAAAGTTTTTAATGTATGAGACTTACACACATGTAAGAACCTATAAATTTGTGTAAAAAATTAAATAATTATATTTTTACTGTAAAATTTTCTCTAGATTTTATGAAGTGTTAATTTTTGTCATTTGCTTTCCTTTCCCCTTTTTAACATAAACTTCCTACGCTATAAGGTGTCCTGTACACATCGGGAAGAAAAATTAGGTCATAGATATGGTATGCTAAATTACTTCTGACCAATTCATTTCAATTATTTTCAAATATAACATCTCAAACATTGTTAGCCATTTTAGCTAGTCAAAATATACTTGTAAAACAATGTCTTCTGTAGTTTAGTTATTCACTTTTGGAAAATAATAGACAAGCCCACTTCTAAACCCATTTTCAAGACCTAATAATATATACGTGAAATGATTGATTGATAATTAGAGAAGATATAAGAGAGAATATTACCTTTAATATCCTAATTGATTGTCATATCGTTTTGCTTGAAAATTAGGTATAATTTTTTGTCTTGAATAACAATGCTTTTCACTTTTTGCAATGCATCCTCCAACGATAATCTATATTTTAGACAGCCACTTTCAATAACTAGTTTTATTTTTTCTAAATTTACACTCTAAAAGAAAGGAAAAATAAGGAGATATAGAACAAATTAGTTTCTTTCTTTCTTTCTTTTTTTTTTCCCCCCAATGTTTAACAAGTGTAGATTTCCTTTCTAAATGTAAACTAGTCAAGAAAAGGAGAGACAAAATTACTAGAAAAAATATTACAAAAAAATGGTGCAGAGTTAAGTTGGTTATGACTGCCAAAATGATTAGTTTGGATATATATAGTTTCATTAGCGGTCTATTAAGGTTCATCCATGACTCTTTCTTTTGCACTGTATTTTCCCGACCAACCAAAATTTTGGTCGCGAATGACTTTTGCCGACCCTCAATTGGCGACCAAAATAGCGACAAAAAAAATTGGTCGCGGATAACTTTTGCCGACTAAAAATGAACTTTTAACGACCAATTTTTTGGTCGGCAAAAGTGTTAATTCTAGTAGTGTAGTATGCCTTAAACTGTGTTTAGATTATGAATTTTTGTAAAAATTTATAAAAGAAAAAAGAAAAGATTAGTGAAATATAAATGAAATATAATTATATTTCATTATTATTTCATCCAAAATTTTTTTTTTCTTCCTTTTAAAATTATTACTCAAATTCATTATCTAAATACGGTCTTAATATATCATCATTTGTTCTATGACTCTGCTCCACAAGCTTCATTATAGCACCTCAAGGATAGGATATTATTCCCAAATATGAAGTGGACTAGTTGTGTGTCCACTGCATTGCCATTTTCTTCAATAGCTTCATTAGATTTAGGGCACGACAAAAAGTTGATATGAGCATGAAGTTTTTGTAGGATATTTGACTTGCAGAATGACAAAGTGTAGTATTTTGGGGAAATAATGTTTTAGTGGTAACGTTGCAGAGCTTTTCGTTAATATGAATTTTTTTTCTAAGTTTTACTGAAATGATATTTCCTCTAATGTTTTATCTTAAATTCTCATATATAAGATGGTGTTCATGCTGCCCCTTTAATTTTAGAACAGTAAAGCTTTGAACCCAGAAAAATTGAACCAGAAGTTTACCCAGAATGAAGATGATTGGCTCAGATTCAATTTGTGTTGTGGGTGCATATAAAAAATGCATCTAGACCATTAATTCAAGTTTCTAGATAAATTTATGGATAAATAATCCGAGTATGTGGCGCTACTAATTTTATAAGTGTCTTTGCAGTGTAGGAGAACAACTTTTTTTTCTGTGCTACTAATTTTAGAAGTGTCTTGCCAGTGTCGGAGAACAACTTTTTTTTTTTCTTAACAATTGATTTTTAATCAGTTTATTTGGTTTTAGTTTTTTGAATTCAATTTTTTAAAAATTGAGTTTTTTATTTTTTATTTTTAGTGAATATTTTTTAAATTTTAAGTAATTTTTACTTTTTTAGATATACATTACTTAGTGTATTTAAATAGTAAAAAAAATTTGTGAAAAAATATTTTAAAAAATTAAAAAATACACAAAAATAAGAAAAATGTACTGAATTTTTTTTTGTTGGTATCTAATGGATTTTTTAAAGTTTTTTACACAAATATTATACTTTTTAAGTGTGTTTATATATTAGGTGTGTCTAAAAATTAAAAAATTACATAAAATATTAAAAAAATTTAGTGAAATCAAAAAAAATACGAAAAATGAAAAAGTAAAATTCTCTGAAAAGTGAATTTTAAAAATTAAAACCAAAATAGAGTGAATATATTTAATAATTTATTTTATTTTGAAATAGCAAAAAGATGCCAAGTTACTTTATGTTCATTATTTTAATAGTAAAGACTTATAAAAATTGGTAAAAAATATTAAAGTAAATAAAGTTTAAAGTAAAACTAGTAAAGTAATAAATTTAACATACTGGATGGGCATTCTTTTTATATTTAGAGATGTCATTTATATGTTAATTTGACATCCAAGCCTTCAAAATAATTTGATATAAGTTGGGTGGAGATGCTCTTAGCAATGTTAAATCTTGAGTTTATGCCAAATTTTGGTAATAATAAGACTGTTAGCTAGTAATTGGAGAAACGTCTTTTGCAAGGTTTTAAATAGCGATATTAGAAGATTATTTGGTATTAATCATAGAGTAATAATATTTGGAGTATCGAGTAATGTATTTTGAGAACCGAGTGATGCAATTAAATATTTTAAAATCATTAATCGCGAGAAATAGATTTGTAACCACCAAACTACTAGTATTGGCTGTGAACCCCCCACACTTGTCGTATCATGAAGCAATACATATCGCGGACATGCATATGATGTTGATTTCTACCGGTATACGTATGTGGAAATACCATATCCATATCGGATAATATGATGTGTGTGTAATAGATATTTCAAAATGTTATGTTTTGTGTGATTTAAAAATAGTTAGCTTGGATTACGAAGTAGAATTATGGCCATTTTGAGTGAGTTTCCCAAAATTAATATTGAAAATGTTACACTTAACAATTTCTACTAAAGCTTAATCATAAAAATCTCTTGTTTGAAAAAACCAAACATGTATTTGAAAAATTTATTTGGGAGAGCTCATTAATTGTATATATACAAATGCAATGGATATTTTGAAGATGCTCTCTAGTAAGACAATTCATTGTTCTTTCTTCTTCTTCTTATTATTATTATTTCGAAGTTATGTTAATCCACATGGCTTTCTCTCCCACGCAAATAATAATAATAATAATAATAATAATAAGATTTCAGAAGAAGAAGAATTCCAAAGAAGAATTCAAAAGTAGAAAATTCAAACGGATAAGAAATTAATAGAATTTATATGGGTAAGTAACCACTTGTTATTTATTTATTTTTATTTTTTTGATAACTGAATGTCCGGACAAATTTGTATGTACTCCTTGGGATGTGAGGAGGTCAATCTTTTTGTGTTGTTTGTTTTTTATATTTATTTTTTGATAAGCACAAGAAAGAAAAAAAAAACTTTATTAAAGAAATTAACATAAAATACATATGGCGTTACTTTTTTTCTTTTTCTTTTTTAATTTTTTTATACAAGTTATTGAGCTTATAGATATGTATTGATGGACTATGATTATTTAGTTTGATTTAATTCTCCTCACATTTCTAAATAATAGTACCGATTGACCAAAAAAAAAATTACCAATAACAAGTGATGTCCTAGTCATGTTAATGACAATATAACATTCAACGTCACCATATATGCAGCAAGTAATCGACTCCGTTCATTCCCATTTTAACATATTTCTCAATGTTATAATTTTATCATTATCCAATTGATCATGACATATTGTTTTCTTTTCTCTCCATGAACACTCCAACTATGGTATGTAGGTATAAGCAAAGTTGGCCAAATCCGCCACTTCTTCCACCGGCCTTCAAAGGCATACACCACCGGGACAAGGAAGAGAAGAAAGGTTCATACTAACGAAGATGGCGGTGAAACAAGGTGGCACAAAACAGGAAAAACAAGGCCAGTTCTCGTTGGTGGGACAGTGAAAGGGTTCAAGAAAATACTAGTGCTCTACACCAACTATGGTAGGCAAAGGAAACCAGAGAAAACCAATTGGGTTATGCACCAATACCATCTTGGCAATAATGAGGAAGAGAGAGATGGAGAGGTGGTGGTTTCGAAAGTTTTCTACCAAACACAGCCTAGACAATGTGGTTCAACTTCAAGCCTTACAGATTCAGTGTTTGACCAAAAATCAAGTCATGTAATTGAGAATACACAAGGTTATGTGGAGGGATATTATAATCCAACTACATTGATATCCTATGATATTAGATTTGGAGGGCAAAATAGGGATATCACACCTCAGCTAATCCCTAATTTGGGTATTCAAGGTGTTGGGTCTTCATATATTCATTTGCCCAACAATGCAAGCAAAGGGAAAGTGCTTGAGAGGGAATAGACATGGCGGAACAGTTGATAGGGCAAACAATAATAAGGACTTGTTTGGTTGTTGTTGATATGATGTTTAATGGTTAAAAGTAGGTTGAGATTGAATGGGATTGGCATAGGTATTTTCTGGGGTAAGTTGGATAGGCATTAACATTGTTTTCTTGTAGGAGTTTGTTTGTAGTTTGCATGTTGTTGGTAGGGATCATACAATGGAGCTAGTGTGCCTTCTGCACCCATTTATGTAATGGGGAGCTTTGTAATCAGAAAAAAACATATATAATGGAGTGATATATTGATGGAAAATGACATAAAAACACTAGAATTTTTTTTGTATAAAGAGATGCACCATGGAATTTTACTTGTATTTATTAATGTGAATTTTATTTGATCAAAATATTTTACAAATCAGTGAAATTTTAGAGTGTAAATTTTATAACCCTACATGTTCCAAACTTGCACTCAACAAGATTTTCAATGATTTGTAATATGTCCCCCATTTCCCTTTTATTAGTTATTTTCCTAAGGTAGTAGATTCTCTCCGGTCCATAATCTATTGGAGGGCATTGTTTGGCTCCGTAAAGCTGACCATGAGTTTTGTTTTAATCATTCGAATAATTTATTTTATCAGATATTTTGTGTATTTCATTAATAAAAAAATTAAATCGATTCAATAATCGTATCGTGCTTGTCATAAAAAAATGAATGTTATTTATAAAAGCACAATTGTCATTTTTTTTTTGGGTAACAAATGTGATAAATGAATATGTTATAATTATCGGATCGATCTTTTTTTTTTGGTCAATGAAATACACAAAGTGCCTAATAAAATAAATAATTTTGAAATGCCACCCATGATAAGCCCTACAAACCCAAACAACACCCTTCAATTCAAATTATGAACTGTACTCTAACTTTTCCTAATACGCCATTTTGATGATGGAACTATAGAAAGACAGTTGTTGCAAATTTCAGTAGGTTGTGTTATTAGGGATGGCAATTTCAACCCGGCCCGACGGGGACCCGATCCCCCGACCCCGATTATAACGGTTTTTTCTCGAAAATTATCTCCATAGGGCCGGTGATGGTATTAAAAATAAAATCCCCGACTGTTTTCGGGCTGGGGACGGGGATAGATACCCCAATCCCGGCCCCGGCCCCGGCCCGCCCCCATCCCCGAATTATCCCCACTTAACTCCCCGGATATTCTCCGAATATTCCTCATGGATATATGTAATGTTTGACTCTGCCTGACTCTAACTCTGAGTCACTCACATGCATTTCAAAAGATGCATTTCGTTTCTCTCATGGTCTCAGCCTCTGTCTCTCCCCCTCTGCCTCTCTCTCTACGCAGCTGCTCTCACGGCGTCGCCGTCGTTCCTCCATCGCCGATCTCCCTCCTCCCATCACCGCCGATCGTCGGCCTCTTCCCCATCGCCACTGTCCATTGTCCCTCCTCCATACAGCTGCTGTCCTCCTTCCCCCCACCCCATTACCCTCTTCCCCGCCCCCATCGCCGTCCATCACAGTCACCCATCTTCCTCAGATCTAGTTGAAAACCCCTAGATCTGGTACGATCTTGTACAAAAATGGACATTTGTTTGATTTTTTTTTTTAAATTATTTTTTGTTGGTGATAATGATGATGTTGATGATAATGGAGTCACTGATGTTGCCGGACAATCCCAATTTGAGCTGGGATTGTCTAATTTTTAAAATATTTGAGCTTGAATATGTGTGGCTGCACAATTTTTTTTTTTCAAGGCCGGGGAATGTTCGGGGTCGAGAAAACCCGATCCCCGCTAGCGGGCGGGGGCGGGGACGGTGAGAGGTTCCCCGTCGGGGATCGGGGCCGGGTCCTAAGGTAGTAGATTCTCTCCGGTCCACAATCTATTGGAGGGCATTGTTTGGCCCCGTAAAGCTGACCACGAGTTTTGTTTTAATCGTTCGAATAATTTATTTTATCAGATATTTTGTATATTTCATTAATAAAAAAATTAAGTCGATTCAATAATCGTATCGTGCTTGTCATAAAAAAATGAATGTTATTTATAAAAGCACAATTGTCATTTTTTTTTTTGGGTAACAAACGTGATAAATGAATATGTTATAATTATCGGATCGATTTTTTTTTTTTTTGGTCAATGAAATACACAAAGTGTCCAATAAAATAAATAATTCAAATTATTGAAATGCCACCCATGATAAGCCCTACAAACCCAAACAACACCCCTCAATTCAAATTATGAACTGTACTCTAACTTTTCCTAATACTCCATTTTGATGATGGAACTATAGAAAGACAGTTGTTGCAAATTTCAGTAGGTTGTGTTATGGTTTATAATTTTATCATTATGTTTATTTTTGTTCTTTTACCATTTTTCACTTTTCAATTGAAAATAATAAGACTATGATTGTGATATTTATTTCATAATATATTTTGTCTCTCTTCTAAGTTCTACCTCTCTTTGTTATTTAAGAAATTATTATAATCCCATCTCACATTGTTAGTCCTTTTAAATTTGATAAATCCTAAAATAATTTCTTTTGTAGTAAATTACCAACACCACTTCCAGATTTACCTACAATACATAATTCCTATAATTTTAGAAATTATATTTTGTCTCGTAATATTTAAATCAGATTACAATTTATCCCTGACGAGTTTGCTTACATCATTATTACAAACTTGCAAAATATCAATTGTAACTATAGTAACACAACCCCAGTTGTGGTCCAAGTGGTCATAGAGAGGGCACTTAGGTGTCAGGATGAGATTTTAGGTTTGAATCTCCGACGAGATATTTTCATACATTGTAATCTAACTACTAACATATTAATGTTATTTTTGTCCAAAAAAAAATTAGTGAATAAGTCTTTTATTGTCCTGAAGCTTTCTCTCTCATTACACCAAGTGCCAATTTCTTTATTCAAAACAAAAAAATAATTAAATTGAAAAGAGAGTGGAGTTTGAACATAAGACTCTGGGTTAGTAAAAACACTCTTATCACTTGAGTAATACACAATATATAATTAATATTTTATTTTATATCTACTTATTTGAATTGCGCACGTGTACCAACCGCTAGTATATATATGTATTGTGACTATTTTGATTATTTATTTAGCTTTCATTGTTGTGGGTTTTGAAGAAATTTCATTGGATTTTTCTTCAACAATGCTAAAGATATTAACAATCTTAGTAACAGACTAACAACTTTTGGTGGGACCCACATAAGCTTTATGAGTATGTTAATAAAATTGTTAGTAGAAGTACTAGTATCCCTAACATTTCTCATTTTATTTGTAGCTATGAAGGAGGATGTAGGAGTGGTGGAGTTTTTTATTTTTATTTTATTTTATTTATTTTTTTATGAAGACTTTATTGACAAGATCAAGCATACAAAGTATGAATTACATCAATAAAGGGCAAGAAAGTGAAAAGAGCATTACATTATAACTTTAAGATCTCGACTAGGTTGGCTTTAAGAAGCCGACTAGGTTGGCTCTAAGAAGAATACACAACCAGTTGCTAGCACAAGCCTCAAAGTTGGTGAGGAACCAATAAAAAAGAATTATAAACAGCAACAACAAACTCAATGTAATAAAAACACCACCACTACCACCAATAAGCCCAAACACCAAGCTCAAGGTTTGTTCCTCATGCTCTACTTCTCATACAATAACTCAAGCTATGCTCATCACTCTTAAACCAACAACAATTAGATACAGTCCCTTATCTGTGTTAGGCTGTGCACTAGATCATTGACTGAGTAATGAAATCCATGAATTGAAGTTTTAAGACATAATGCTATTCTAATCTTGACCAGCTCACACATTTTATAACCCTTAGGTTGAGTCTCACTGAAAACACACTCATTTCTATGCTTTCAGAGAGACCAAAGTACAATTATGGGAACAACCCTCCACAACCTTTTTTCCTTCTTGAAATTTCCACCAGACCACCAATCGAGCAAACCCTCAACATTTCTAGGTGTTGCCCACTCAACTCCCCACCACTATATCATTTCAAACCAAACACACTAGGAGAAAGGGCAATGAAGCAACAGATGAACAGCTAATTCGGGTTTATTCTTGCAAAACACACATACAGTAGCTGCATTGCTATCCAGAATAATAATTATATGCAGAAACACAGATGTCTTGACTCTTTTTTTTAAGCCAACCATCCAAAAAATTGTACCTTACGGGGGATATCCTTATTCCATACAATTTTTCAAACTTTGATCTGTGGGCCAAGCATTGTGTCAAAATTTATACAAATCAGCCACCTTAAACCCACATGTAACTACACCATTCCAAGTAGGACAATCTATACACCACTGTCTTAGATTTGGAGCGGAATTCAAAGTAATAGCCAATCTTAAGGCCTCAATCATTTCCCAATCATACAAAGGTCTTCTGAGAAACAACTCTCATTCTTTGGAGTTTGGTTTCCCTTCATAGAGTCTGAAAAGTGAGCCCTCCTTGTCAGTTGATAGCCTAAATAGCCTTGAAAACTCCACTTTTAGACATATATTTCTGCACCACTCATCATGCCAAAATTTTATTCTCTTCCCATCCCCAACTTTAATTTGGAATTTATCCAAGTAGAATTCAAAGATGGCTTGTCTATGATCTGCAATAGAAATGATATCACTCCAGATTCTATGTTTGTGATGGAAACCACCTACTTGCCTCCATTTTATGTTTACTACACAAAACTTTTCTCCATAATACATTCATTTCATACCCAAATTTCCACCACTATTTGAACAAATGACTATCATTAACATCTACTAACCTTCTTATGCCCAAACCCCATTAATCAACACTCTTAGTTACTTCAAGCCTTTTCACCAGATGCACCTTTATTTTCAGATCATTCCCATCCCCACAGAGATGCTGCTTTCATCTTCTCAATTTCTTTTGCAACTCCACTAGGCATTTTGAACAAAGATAAGTAGTATATAGGAAGACTTGTTACTACAGACTTTATCAAAGTTAGCCTACCTACAAAGGATAGCAATCTCCTTTTCCACCCAGCTAATTTTGAACTGACACTATCCAAGACAGGTTTCCAAGTAGATTTCCCACCAGGGTTAGCCTCTACGGGTAAACCTAAGAATTTTAGGGGCAGTCCTTGGATCTTATAGTTTAACAAATCAGCATACATGGCTAATTCATCCTCATTAACACCAACTTCACATACTACACTTTTAGCATAGTTTATCCTCAACCCAGACATAACTTCAAAACATTTTAAGATCCTTTTAGTGTACACTAATTGCTCTAGCTCAACTTCATAGAAAATTATGGTATTTTCGCCAAATTGTAGATGGGATACCAAAACCTCATTTGCCCCTATTTTTACCATTTTATGATACCCAAATCAAAAGCCCTATTCATCAGGATATTTAAACCCTTAGCCACTATATTGAACAAAAAGAAGGAGAGGGGATCACCCTGTCACAATCCTCTCTGAGGTGAAAACTCATTAGTTGGTGACCCATTCACAAGCACAAATAATCTTGCTAAAGATACACATTCTGTCATCCAAGAGATCTTTCACCAAAGCCAAAATTTCCAAGCATAGAGAAAAGGAATTTCTAGTTAACTGAGTCATAAACTTTCTCAAAATTTAGCTTAATAACTACATCTTTCTTTTTAGATTTCTTCCATCTATCCACAATTTCATTTTCTATAAACACTCATTTAGAATATTTCTTTCTCCTATGAAAGCTGATTGTGATTCACCAATAATTTCAGTAAGTACCCTTTTCAATTTGTGTGCTAGGTCTTTTGATAGGATCTTATATATAAAGCTCACTAGACTGACGAGTCTATAATTAGCCATTTCTAATGGTTTTTCTTTCTTTGGAATCAGTGTAATGAATGAACTATTAATAAAATAGGATAACTTGCTTTGGCTGTAAAATTCCTTCAAGAACTTAATTATCTCATTCTTCATAACCTTCCTGTTAGGTCCCTTATGTTGTCAATTCCACGAACAAACGCTTTCTCTGTTTGTAATCAGGGTTTAGTTTTGTCTTGGACCACTCGAGCGACAGAATGGTTGCTCGAGCAAAGAATTCCATCTCTTAGTAGTTTAGTCAGTCTACAAAAGTATTGGGAGGGTTCAATGTTCGCTCGAGTGAACTTATTGGTGGCTTAAGTGAAGTAACTAGTGTACTTCATGCGTATAAGGCACACTACTCGAGTGATCGTTTCATGGCTCGAGTGATTTTCGCGGCCCTTGTTTTCTATAAAGTTGCATGAATGACAGAATTTAGGATAGATCTTTTAAAGCATATCCAGAAAGGCTAAGGTTTCTCTCTAGAGGTTTTTGGCTTACTTTCTTTGATGTCTTGCTGAGGTTATTCCATGATCTAAATCGTTTACATCAAAGGTTGATCATTCAAAATAAAGATTTCTTATTTGGTGGATTCCGAAGATTTAAGCGTAAAGGCCTTGAAGGAGTTTGAAGTAGCTTATTGTCATGGATTTGGTGTGAGTGTTGTGGATTTAACATTAGACTAATTAGTTCTGAGACAAAGCCATTGGTGAAAGATGCACAAGTTGTTGAAGACAATCTTACAGTGCGTAAGGTAAATTGTTTGGTCACGTCGTGTACTTTCATTCTTTACAGTGGATTGATTAGTGGCGTATAGCTCGTGGTTTTTTTTTATATCACAATTGGAGGTGCTTCAACTGTGTGTGTGTTTTTATTTATTTATTTATTATCGTTTGTGTCAATTTGTTAATTCTGAAACAACAAACTATATCACTTTTGTATGTACGAGATGATTTAGATTGTTAGTTTTGTTTGTTTGGAAATTGTTACAATTAAATCTATTTCGAATCACGAGTCACTTAGGTTTTTCAATTGGTATCAAAGCAAGTCACTCATTCATTTAATTTTTTTTGAATTTTTTTTATAAAAAAAAATATAGGAGTGTGATTTTGTGTGATTCATGTTAATGGATTCGATTCACGAAGGTAACTCGACCCATAGACCCCTTTTACTTGATGGAACAAGCTATTCTTATTGGAAAGCTCGTATGAGGGCGTTTTTAAAATTAATTGATGAGAAAGTTTGGCACTCTGGTATTTATGGGTGGAGTGAACCTATAGTTAACATTGATGGTGTTGATATTTCCAAACCAATCGATAAATGGGATACAATTGATTATTAGAATTCCAGTTGAAACAGTAAAAGCGCTCAATTCTCTCTTTTGCTCTGTCACAACTGAGGAGTTTTGTCGTATTTGTATGTGTGAGGTAGCAAAAGAGGCTTGGGACATTCTTGAAACAATTCACGAGGTACTACTACTGTTAAAAGGTCAAAACTTCAACATCTCATCTCCTCATTTGAAACACTTTTTATGCGCAAAGATGATACGTTTGATGATTTTTATGCTAAACTGAGTGATATTGTGAATTCTTGTTTCACACTCAGAGAAAAAATCCTTGAATCTAGAGTGGTTGGAAAAATTTTGAGGTCCTTACTCGATAAGTTCCAATGAAAAGTGACAGCTATAGAGGAGGCTTAGGCTATTGAGAACCTCAAACTTGATCAGTTGGTTGGAAACCTACAAACTTACAAAGCCCATCTGACTTCTAAGAAAAAACAAAAAGATAGTGTAGCCTTTACTAGTGCTCATGAGACTACTAAGAACCTCGAGGTAGAAATTGACCTAGAGTCCGAATTGACAACTATGTGTACTAAACAATTTTTAAAAAAATTAACAAAAATGAAGCCTAATTTCAAGGACTTTAGCTCTAAAGATAAGGGTAATGATAAACCCAAACCTGTTCAACCCGAAGTTGCTCCGAAGACTGAAAAGAAGATTATGAGAGGACAAGGAGTCAAGAACTATGAATGCCAAGGGTTTGGGTATATTGCTCTTGAATGTCCTTCGAAAGAGAATCGAAAGAAAGTCTACACAGTGACTTGGGATGATGAAAGTGGGTCTGAGCAAGAAGCATAGAAAACCAAATCTGGTGAAGACGGAGCTAGTACTTACATGGCATTCTACTCTTGTTTCACTCAATCAACTCCCAAGCCAGTTGAGTTTGCTTGTAGGCCTAGTCTGCATCGTGCTCCTACCTTTGATGGGAGTAATTATCTGTACTGGAAGTGTAGAATGTGAGTTTATCTCAGAGCTTGGGATCCTAAAGGTTGGCGCACAATTGAAGAGAATATTAAAGCACCGTTTGTGATTGATCCGAACACCAATCAAAAAGTTGCCAAGTTGACTGAAGAATAGAGTAATGGTGAAAGGGCTGACATGGAAAGCAGTGAATGAGTTTTGAACACCATCCGAGAAGCCCTTTCTGAAGAAGAACAAGATCGGATCTCTCATTGCAAGAATGCCAAAGATGCATTAGCTATTCTTATGCAATTCCATGAAAGTACAGAGCCATCTTCACAACCATCCAGTAATACCCACATTAGTGCCTTAGTCACTCGATTGGATGCATTCGAGGAGAAAGATGAACGAAAACAAGATGATGAAACCTCAGAGGATATTGATGAGATAGATGGTGAAAAACTTCAATGAATTTATGAAAAGCTATACAGCGAATCTCTAAACTTATCCAAGTTGAAAGACAAACTCACTATCAAACTCAAAATATGTGAAAGTGAGAATATCAAGTTAAAGGAGGAGATTTCTGAAATAAAAAGGATGTCATCAAGATTTCAAGTGATAGATAAGTTCTCAGTGCAAAGCTTCTAACCTGTGAGACCGAGAGGCATGAACTTATGAAAATCTATGCTATATATGAAGAGATTGAATCTCTCGAAATGTCTCAAGTTGCCTTGGAAGAGCTGGTCAGTTAGAAAGAGGAAGAACTTAAAAATGCTAGAGCCACAATTGATATGTGGAATAGAGGATCAAAGACACTTGAAGACATCATTGGGTCTCAACAAATGGGTGGTAACAAAAGTGGGATAGGCTATGGTGAAGCAACACAGCAAAAAGGAAAGACTCCTACATCTCAAGCCAAGGGAAAGTTAAAGATCCAACAAGATGACAAGCCTCTCCATCAACCTAAAGGTGGTAAGACCAAAGAAAGGAAGGTAAAACCTGTTTTTATTTGTCATCATCGTGGTAAGTATGGCCACATTCACCCTTATTGTTTTGAGTTATTTGGTAGAGTTTCCCCAAAAGCTAGAAATTCTAATACTTCATGGGTCAAGAGACAACCTTATATGTCTAGGCAGAATACCAAAATTCATACTGGCATTCACACTACTAAGCCATTTACCAAAAATGCCAGTCCTCATTATGTGAAGACTAAAAAGTTATGGATAAGAAAGAGTGACCTTACTTGTTTTGTGGTTCACACTGCCTTGAAAGCATGTGACTCGTACATGTGGTATCTTGATAGTGGGTGCTCTTGTCACATGTCAGGTGACAAATCCTACTTTACATCTCTTGAGAAATATGGAGGAGGAATTGTTACCTTTGGAGATGGTGATGTCTCTAGTGTCATTGGTAAGGGCTCTATAAGTGTCCCCGGTCTTCCTAATCTGGAGAATGTATTACTCTTTGATTGCCTTAAAGCTAATATTTTAAGTATTAGTCAAACGTGTGACTCAGATCATGAAGTATTATTTTCAAAAAATAAATGCGAAATTTTGGACAAAAAAAGAAATACTGTTGTGCATAGGGTTCGCACATCTGATAACCACTATAATATTGTTACTACTAATGATCTCACTTGTCACTCGGCCATCATGAGTAATCTTGACTTATGGCATCAACGATTAGGTCACATGAATTTTAAAGACCTAACTAAGGTAGCCAACAAAGAGATTGTGAGAGAAGTGCCCAAAATGGGTAAGACTATGAACCAAGTGTGCAGCCCATGTCAATTAGGGAAGCAAATGCGAGCCCCTCACAAGAAGGTGAACAGCTTAACAACCAAGCGTTTTCTTGAGCTTGTTCATATGGATCTTATGGGACCCACTCGTACTGAAAGCATTGGAGGTAAAAGATATTTTTTTTTAACTGTTGATGATTATACTCATTTCACATGGGTTAATTTTTTTAAGAGAAAAATCTAATGCGTTTGATGCTTTCAAATCTTTAGTCCTTAAAATCCAAAATGAATAGGGTTTCTATCATGAGCGTCATAAGAATCCGAACTGATCATAGTCATGAATTTGAAAATAGCTACTTTTTGTATTTTTGTGATATGCATGGCATTAAGCATGAATTTTCTGCACCCATTACCCCACAGCAAAATGGAGTTGTTGAGAGGAAAAACAAGGTTGTTCAATAAATGGTTTCTTAGTAAGAAATTTCCTCCCAAATTTTGGGCTGAAGCCTTAAATACCATTGTTTATGTGGTGAATCATGTGTATTT